TGAACAAAGGGGCTTTATGGCCCTCACTTCCTTCAGGATACTTCAAAGGAACTGGATGTGGAATCACCAAAAGGACTAACAATAACAATAGGGGGTCATTAGCTTTCATGTGATCCTTCCTGAAGTTTCCTCTCGGTAGTGAGGAAAGGGGTGGGGATGAAATGCCTGAGACTGTCTCTGGGAGAAGGGGGTGATGGGGATGGCTAAAGGGGGGACCCCTTTAAAATCTTGAGTTGGAAAGCTTTCACCCCAAGTCCTGTTTAGAACGCCTGCAACTATCTTCTCTTAATAAAGATGCCTATTGGAAGAAATATTCCAAGAGTTCTGTCTTCTTAAGATGCAAAGTGGGGTAGGTCCTTACAATACTATTAAGTGTGGGCAGAATTTTGAATCCCAGTTTTGGATCTTGCATTGACATTTGTCTTTTGGGTTTAATATTTCATTGATGAAAAATATTATGTGAGATCATTGGAACTGTCTTCTTGAGATCTGAAAAATGGAGTATCAAAATGTTTGCTTAGTAGGAGTCTTCAACGCAATAGTGGATGGGACATTAGACTATAAAAGTAGCAAAACAGGAAAAAGTGGAAGAAAAAGATTACCTAAGACTTTTTTTTAACATGATAGAAGAAATTGGAGTACAAGATATTTGGAGGGAAATCAATCCAGGAAAATTACTGTTTTATTCAAACAGTCATAAATCCTGGTCCAGAATTGACATGATTTGGATGACATCTGAACTGAGGACAAGTATGCAGGAAATTGAGATAGAACCAGGTACATGGGCAGATCACAACCCCTTAAAAGTGACATGGAGAGGAATACCCAAAAAATCAAGATGGACTTTGAACCAATCTATATTAAAAGAAAGAGAATTTATAGAACTAGCAAAAAAAGAAATGGAGTTTTTCTTCAAAGAAAATAAAAAAGAAGATACAACATTGAGATCTGAAAAATGAAAAATGCAATGCAATGAAAATATTTATGTTAAGTAGGAAAAAAAAATAAAAGCATACATTTAATGAACTGGAATAGATACTATCCTTGCTGTGAAAACTGGTAAATAGATAACTACAGACCCCTGAGCTAACTGGGGCCCTTTGTGTGATCAATGTACACTTTGGAACAAACTGCTTCTGCTATACCAGTTAATTCAAGGGCTTGCTATTCAAAATCTACATAATTTGGAAAAAAGTTTTTCTCACATATGCATTCTCATGGATCAGAATCTCTGGGTTTCTTTAAATGATATAATCCACTGTTCTTATAAGGTTCATATATAAACATTCACAAATGATCTTTCACAAACAGAAGAAATTCTAAGACATAACCAAAGTTATATTGAGATTAAAGGCAAGATAGAAAATGAAAGTTGAAAATGCTTGTGCGTGCTTTTCATAGAGAAAAGAATTTTAAGAGGCATTTTACAGATTTATAGCTGGTGATCCTAATATTTTAAAACACCCCGACTTTTATTAATCTATTATTCTAATACTCATTATGATTAAGGCAGAATTTTCTTATCAAATTTTCTAGGTAGATCACCATTGGAAAAGTTTGTGTAAAAGTAAAACCCTAATTACAGAGCCTGAAGATGTCAACATTTTTAGTGCTATTTTTTCTTCACTTACCTGTTCTGCTTCACTACTGCTGAAAAAGTGAGAGGCCAAAGTGGTTTTTGCAATGTTCTTTTCATCTGAAAGCAGCACAGCTGCTTAGTATGTCTGAAAAGTCGGAACATTTTCCAGTTTGGTTAAACAGTCCAACTAAGCTTTGAACTGCCACCCCAGCTTTTTTAAAGGCACCCCAAGGGTACTACAGAGCTCTGGTAAGCCCCTCCCTGCTCTTATCATGACAGCCAATAGTATACTCAGTACAAGTAACAGTACACAAGTTGATCTAACTAGGCTTTGGCAATTTTTTGTAGCATCACTTTTCAGTCCCGAGGGTTCCTAAAGAGCTGGCCACCTTTAATCAAGGTGCTTTCCCATTTTGTCCTGACTAGAATCACTCTAAAAATTTCCATCCATGAATGGTGGGTTGTTTTGGACCCCTTCCTCTTCCATACGAGTTCTGACTAGTTGTAATGTGTTAAGTCTGTATTTTCCTGCTGCCCTGTAAAGCAAACAGGACCCAGAGGTAGGATTTAGTCTGGAAAATGGTTACTTCCTCATTCCCAAAAGTGGCTTGAACTGATAAACAAACAAAAAATTTCCCACGTTTACTATTTAGGAGTTAATATAGCTTTTGCTTTCATATATGCATACGTATACAAATTATAATACTCCTTTTATTTAATGTGCTTAGTATTTTATTTTTGAAAGAACATGCCATCCTTTAAAGTCAAATCTTCCTAAAACAGTTATAATACATCCAAATTAAATTAAACCCTCTTCTAATGCTAATAATCTTAATATTGTATTTTCGGTATGTTCTACTAGAAGGAGATTTGTGAATAACCACCTACTGTACTGCAGTAATAATAAATTATTATTTATGCCTACCTTGAAGGAGGCAAAAATAGCCATAACAACAATACTGCCATCAGCCTATGTATTTAGCAAATACATGTAGTCCTCAACTTATGACTACAATTGAGCCCAAAATTTATATTGCTAAGCAAGACAGTTGTTAAGTGAGTTGTGCCTCATTTTATGACCTTTTTGCCACAGTTGTTAAGCAAATCATTGCAGTTGTTACATGAATCATGTGCTGTTAAGGGAATTTGGCTTCCCACATTGACTTTGTTTGCTGGAAGCCGGTTGTGAAGATTATAAATGGTGATCACATGACTCCGGAACACTGCAACTGTCATAAATATATGCCAGTTGCCAAGTGCCTGAATTTTGATCATGTGACCATGGGGATATTCCAATGGACATAACTCTGAAAACTGGTCATAAGTCATCTTTTTCAGTGCTGTTGTAACTTTGAACGGTCACTAAATAAATGGTTATAAGTTGAGGACTGTCTATACTGTCATAATTAAATAAGCAAGTTGCACATTTCTCAATTCCTTGCCTTCCACTTTAGTTGATAATCATTTACGTTGATCAAATGACAAACAAAATTCTGGGCAGCAAAATAATATTTAAAGTGAAGTGAAATTTTGCCCTGTATGCATACAAATATCTAATATCAAATTATTTATGTTATTTCTATGAGCAAGCAATCATTGTCATTTAAATATCTTGTACCTCCAGGCAAAGAAAACACTGATTTAGTACAGCTGTCAGCTAGTGTAGAGAGGCATCCAAGGTCAAAAAATAGTTCATTTTATTACTTTGTTTAAGTGTATAATATACACTTACAAAATAGCAGTACAAGAGGGGACAATTGTGGTGAGGAACTGCCTCCCAGAATGTAATGTGCCAATGGATAGTACTTTAAATTCAGGTGAAAGGCTGCAGAGGAAATTTAGGGGAGAGGTCAGGGCAGCAGATAAAATATTGCTGAAGCTTCTGGGGAAACAAGATGGCTCAAGATATTAGAAATAGGGCTGCACATTACTGAAAAATACAGGGAAGCAGTTCTTTCTACAGATGATGGTGAGGAATGTAGGCAATAGTTCAAAATATGCCATAAACTGATTAGTTTCTTTACACTATCTCTTACAGACATTTTTCTGCAATCCTTTGGTTTTTTTTAAATTCCTTGCTCTGTTCTATCTAACCCTCATAATCATCTTAGTTCTCCAAATGCCTATTGTACTGTAGCCAAACTTAAACCTTCCCCAGTCACATCAAACATCAGAGGGAAGTTCTGAAGGAAAGTTTTCATATGGAATACAAAAATTATTTAAGAACTGCACACTTAGATCAAAAATGGAAAACTGTTAGTGAGCTATGTGAGGGACAGATATAATACTAGAGAAATTACACCAGTTATACAACTATGATAAACATGTATAGGACTCTCCTGCTGTTGTTCCTCAACAAATGCTGTTCAAATTCATGCAGCTGTATATTAAGGATAGAGTAAAGTCATTGCCAGTCTTATTTTGTTCTAAACCTGCAGTCACTACATTTCTTGAAGAATATTTTAACTACAAAATTATTTTCTCTCTAATTAGTGCTTCTAAAATGGTCCTTTAGCATGTTTAAGAGGCTAACTATGCTTAGAATTGCATTTGCATCTTTGCTCTGTATTTGTTAATAAATTTGTTCCAGGAATACAGTAGCAAACTGAAATAACCCCAATTCTTACTGAATTTATTCCCAAAAAGATTTGTATAGAATTTCAGGGTTTAGGGTTGGCTGCTTATTGAGTGAAAGATGGCATGTGTGTTTTAAAGCCAAGCTGAGTAGCAGTATCCACCCAGCTTTGGCTGATCTTGGAAAAACTATGCAGGGTCAGATCTGATTAGTATTTGCATGAAAAACCATCAGAAAATCCCAGAGGCATAGGCTTGACTGGAGAGAAAGAGAGAGATTTTCATTCATCCATCCATTCATTCATTCATTTATGGAAGAAGGCAATGCAAACCACTTCTGTACTACAGGTAGTCCTTGACTTACAACAGTTCATTTAATGACCATTCAAAGTCAGAGCAGCAATGGAAAAAGGGACTTATGATCGTTTTTCATACTTATGACTGTTGCAGCATCCCCATGGTCACATGATCAAAATTCGGATGCTTGGCAACTGGTTCATGTTATGACGGTTGCAGTTTTCTGGGGTTATGTGATCACCGTTTGTGACCTTCTGATGAACAAGTCAATGGGGAAGCCAGATTCATTTACCAACCATGTTGCTAACATCACAACTGCAGTGATTCACTTAACAACTATGGCAAGAAAGATCATAAAATGGGGCAAAATTCACTTAACAATTGTCTCACTTAGCAACAGAAATTTAATTGTGGTCATAACTCACATAAACCTGTACTGCCAAAAATGCTCTGTGAATAAGCTCATGGATTCCCTAGGAGACAAGTTAAGTGATTTTTTTAATCTTAATTTCAAAAAAGGAAATTCCCCCCCAAACAGAAAACAAGTAACAAAGCTAAATGTAATCATAAATAGTAATACGAGAAATACAGAAACAGTATATTATGTTCTGCCTGATGTTTAAACTGAACAATAAATTAATTTGGACAGGTTCATTATATTCTTTAATAGTTAGAACTTTACATAGCATTCTAGTCATTGGCTTTCCTGGAATGAGCAGTGTTTGACATTTTGTAACATCAGAATAACTTTTTAGCCATTTTCTAAGTATCTATGTATTTTTCACAGGACACCCAGTCTTCTGCAGCCTGCTGGCACTTGGCTGCCGTGGTACTCGTTGACCAGATCCTTCTCGGTTGCTATGATCTGACACAGGTTGGTTCCCAGCTGTTGTAGAAATGGTTCTGGCTCTCCCTGGAGGAAAAGAAAGGCTAAGTTTAGATATTTATTATGACCAACCTATCAACTATTAGGATTGCTGGAATATTTTAAACAATTTTGAAATGTATCTAGGGATATAAATCTAACAAGCTATAAGATCACAATATAAAAGACTAAAAATATACTAAACCAAACTCTTAACAGTAGCTAAATTATCCAAATCACTGCTTATCAGATCTGTTTTCCTGAGACTCACTGCTGAAAACAAGAACTAGCTAATAACATAATCAAACTTCTTGTTCTGTACCCTCACAACTGTTCTGTCCCTGCAACTGTTGAGCAACATGAAAATGAACACAACTTTTTTCAGCCTTTTCCAAATTCTATCCTTCTCTTATAAATCTGCAGAATCACAGAATAGGAAGAGACCACAGAAATCATTACTGTAGTCCAATCACCTGCTCAGTGCAGGTTCCACTAAAGCATCTCTGACAGATGATGATCCACTCTCTTTGAAGACTTCTAATGAATTTCTCCCCACTCACAAAATTTGCTTTTCGTTCTTGAAATAAAAATGAATTATGTATTTTAGCAGTGTAACATAACACGACTGCTCCACAACCAAACTATTTTGCTAAGAGCAGCATGTAGTACTAGAGGTTGTTTTTTTATATAGGGAAAATTACTTTGTAAAATAATACTACTACCCAAATTCCAAAATCCTCTAGTTGATGTAAAGAAGACTCTAACCTTAATCCATTTAAATAAGTTTATAATCAGAACATCTTTAGTCAAAGACTAAAAGGTACATTTTAATTATTAATGGGTACAAATTTTGGTTCCCTTTTGATAAATATGCCAATTTTTCCCTGTGGGTCCAACTTCAATAAATGTTTTTTCCATAAAAGTCACAAGACTAATATTTTGTTAAGCTCAAATGTTATTCTAGTAATGGTTTGGATTCTTCACAATGTTGCAATAGTTCATTGTTTAGATCCCTGATTTCTAATTTAAGAATTAACGGTAAAAGAAAAAAGATGGTGTTTCTTTCTGTCAATGATGTACATAGTCGTTGGCTTTTATAATATTTAATGAATCTGTACTCAAAGCACTCTAACAAAAATGATATTCTTAAATAGTATCACAGAGCTTGTTGGCATCCAAATATATTTGAATTATTCCATTAATGTTAAGCCACATTAATATTGTTCAATGCATCTTTGAAAGTATCTGTCCTTGATGTATTCCTTATGTAACTAAGATCATGTCAGCACTGGCCACCATAAATGGTTACCAGCACTAACACTAGGAAATGGAAGAATGTAGCAGAAAATAGCAGAGTTTTACAAGCCAATTCTGGCTTCTGGCTTTGAAAGCAAGGTCACGGACAGAAATAATATATTTTTTACACATGGAAGTTAGAGCTTTTGGGGTCACTTCTGTCATGTATGACAGGAAAATGTTTAATTTCACCAAGAATTTTAATAATCTTGGACATGCTCTTTGAACCTTTTTCGTTAAATTTTTTAAAATCCAGTCCCACAAATCTATATTTCACAGCAACGACTGATCCTTTCCAAGCAAGAATTAACATTTTGAAGAAATGTTTCTTTTCAGACTTCTTCCAGATATCTCACACTTATTATATGATCCATTAAATCAGAGAAATTACATTAATCATTTACTGGATCCAGGTGTCTTACCACCATTCTCCTCTGTACAGATACAAAATTGCCAGTTACCTTACCAAACATGAATGAAGTAAAAGCTGAAGGAAACCTTTCACTATCTTCAGATGCAAACAAAACTTTCCTCAGATACAATAATCTTAGGGCAAGTATTTAAATCAGTATTCTGCATGGAGTTTTGGAAAGGATAGTTCACACTGGTGTGATTCCTCAAAAAACATTTTCTGTCCCAGATATTTGTCATCTGTAGAAGTTGCTGCATTGTCTTCTGCTTGCAGAAGAAACTTAGAAGCTCCAGCAAATTGCTAACTGTAGTAGTTGGTGGAACAATGACAGAATGAGATAGGGTAGAGAATGTTTCTCAGAAAAGTATAAGCTAATATTTTGGGAATAAAAAGTGAATGCCACATATTTATATTTAAAATAGGGTATTCCACTAAATGTGTGTTGTAAAATGTGCCCCAATTGATTAAGAACATCCCATTCAGGTGTCACAAAGCATACAAGTCACAATTCTGAATGCCAGGGATAAACATAATATCTTGATGCAAATTTTTTTATGAAGGTTCAACATGTTGATGGAAGAAGAGACATAGAACAAATATCTCAGAAAAATAACTCTGCCACAAAAATACAATATCTTGCAAAATTCTTCAACCAAAAGTTTAATGTAGTATGTATTTAAACATTTTCAAATGACTGGAGGGATTTACAGTGCCAGATAGATAAAAATATTCTGTACTTAACCTAAATGATGCAATAGCAACAGTGTGATTCAAACGAGCAATGCTCAATCTGCATGCCATTTCCTACTTGGTGCTACAGATATGGGTGGTTGTAAAACTCCTTTCAGAAAACACAAGGACCTTTCACAAGGTTGCAGTGCTGCAAAGATGATATATTTGGAGGCATGTACTAGTGATGTATAAATGTTTAAAATTTAAAATGTTTTGAGCTAAAAGAACCCCATTTTGGAGCTGAAATTCTCAACACCTGTTCCCACCTTACCAAAAGCATTCTAAGGCGGTTCCAACCTTACCAGAAGTTTGGTACTATTCTAAATAATCTGTTTTAAACTCTAAAAAGTTGTTTCGAATTTGAAACAGTCTGCATATTAATAATATACTGCATACTTGATAAAAATATAATGGGTTCCCCAACCTTTTAATTGAACCATAATAATATTGAAAAGTCACTAGAATGAAATGAATATTATTTGCACAGTGTTCAGGATGTGTAACTTAAAATAATGAGTACATTTACTTGGAAGCTGAAATCAAGAGTTCTTAGTCCAAGTAAGAACTTTTCAAATCTGAAGGCAAGAGAATCACTTTCCTTTCTCAAGACTGCCCTAAAACCCAGTAGATAACAACCTGCAAAAGGAGAGAACAGGCAGCAAGAAAACTGGAAAGAGCCAGGGGGACCTTGAGAGAGAGGCGAACAAGCTGCAGCAGGACTGTAGACCGCAGCCTTAGGGACTCTTATTCGTGGAGGTCGAAGGACAGAGGAAAGTAAGAGTGGTGCAGGGATTTTACTGGCCTTGGCAGACACAATTGGGGGCTCTAATTCAAAGAGAGACACAGAAATAAATTAGAAACACCACAAAGCTACAGACACAAAAACAAACAAATGAATCTATATTTACATATTTTAAATGCTATTACACCAAGTAGTACTATTGCTTTTGGGGGTTTGTTGTTTTACATACATGCAGCTCCTAGAGTGAAAAACTGTAGATCCATATAAAATTCTAAACAACTTGAAGTATTTAGGAGAAAATGGGAGCTAGGTGCTCTATTGTTTATTTGTTTCATTTTCGAAATAATTTTGGAATGCCACAAATAAGACACTGTATAATATTAATTTTTGTAAAACATCTGCAATGTATGTATTTCAAAGTCATCCTTAATTGTATATTATACAATAAGAGCATTATCAGTAAAGTTCTATTCTACAGTATATGCAATGAGGCTAGAATTTAGCCTACAGCTCAGGGAAAGGAAATGCCCTGACTCTTGCTACAATCTTAGCACAGTCAATCTATTCCAAATCTAACAGAGCCCCAGAACACTTAGTGCACATTACAAGTACACTGAACCCTAAGTAGTACAGCAATTTAAATGTCTCTATACTTCATAAACTAATCATACTGCTTTGTTTTGATTAAATGCAGTAGTGTAAAATAACATCCCCCTGCATTTTTTAAAAAATAATTATAACATGAAGGTAGGGACAGCTTACTTAAAGCTGTCAAACTAGCTCTTTCTCTTCATAGATAAATTCACAGTAAATGTTGTATAGTATAAGAAATATAAATGAATTAATGAAATTCCAAAAAGCTTTGAAGCACATAATGGCTGAACAGAAGTGTTAGTTTTTTGTAGCAACAATAGTTGCAGCCAATTATTTTATTTTACTGGTTCTGAAGAGTTAGTATAAGAATCTTTTCTGGGAAAGATTCTTATACTAACTCTTGCACGCATAACTTGAAAACTGCTCTCTTATATATTTTGATATAACTAGTTGAATAAAAGAAAGCAACAGAAAGTGTCCTTGCAAATAAATGTCTCTATGAAGAATGGCAACCTAAAATATGGAAGTATATTTCAATATCAGAAATAATCTTACATTTGAGAATCAAGTCTGATACAGAATTTAATTCAGCTTAGAAATCATTCATAGATTACAGTTCTACATACAGATGTGAGGTTTCTCTTAGCAGGAAGCTTTACAATAATAGCTTTTGTTTGATTTGTTAAATAAGGATAGAATTTACAGTAGAATACAAAGAAACATTTGTTAATTTTTTATTCTGACATGATTCATATTATACTGCCTATTGTTTTTAATTATTGAATATTTGCTTGAATTTATTTACTGTATTTCAATCCTGCCACAATCCAAAAACTCTTGGTGGTTTTATGAAGCATTTCAATATTTTTTTGAAGTCTACAGCACTAAATAAATGTTCTTCATTTTTTTTACTCTATTTTACATTGCTTTTAATTTTTTCCCCTTATTTATCTTTTATACTTTTCTTCTTGATTCTGTTCTTCTGAAATACTTATCTACCTCTAATAAGCAAACAAATAGGTATTGCACTTGTTCAGTGTGGCCCAAGGTCACCCAACTGGCTTTATGTCTAAGGTGGGATTAGAACTCCATGGTTCCCTGGTTTACAGCCTGATGCCTGAACCATTACACCAAACTGTGTTTAATTGATATACTACATGATTAAAAACTCAGTTGAAGTTATAGGTGGCAGAACTAAATTTCCATCTGTAATACAATACGTTCTCTTAGAAATGTTTTATTCAAATGCAACCAGCTTAAAGTCAATGGCAG